CTAAGTAGTTCCTTATGGTCTATATTGAGCATCCTATAAGGTAATCCCGAAAAGGAACTACTTAGCGGCCTATGGGTAAGAACCATCATCCGACAGTAGTTGAACTACTCTGAAGCCTATGGGTAAGCCTTAAGGCCCTAAGAGCCCTCCTCCGACCTCAGAGTCGGAACTCTCAGGCTCTGTACAGTCGGCGCCTCCGGGCGTGGAAGGATTTGGGTCGAGGCTGTAACAGCACGTTGATCATGTTTTCTTGTCTTTCTTGGGCTTGGGTTGAAAGGCTGTTGGGGCAGGTGGCAGCTAGGCCGGTTCCTGTGTCATATTTACGGGCTTAATGCTCCACTTGCATAATGCAGACTCGGACAAAAAGCCTACGAAGCTGCAGAGATACCAGTACAAACAAGAAGGGTTCATCGTCATAGACCTAGCGGGCTTTACGCGCTGAGCTGGCTTATATATTCCGGTGCGCCCCGCCATCATGTTAAAGCTCAAAGCTGACAAACACACGACGCAGACGAGGACCAGTCATAAGACTGAGTAAGTGCAGTTCCTAGTTATCGTCGTCGAACTTGTCAGATATCAGCGTTATCATTCCGCCAAAGGGAAGCTCAAACGAATCGACTCACAAAGAATGAACTCCTCAACGCTGCGGCAATGCTCCTTCCTCCCCAGTTCCGAAAACAAAAAACGACGGATGTCGATTCTGCCTGCTCAAAGGTTTCCGATTCTGCTTAAGGCCTTCGCTGCTAAAGTTAAGCTGGACCCCAAGAACTCCTAAAGCCAAACCTGCCGACTTCCACAGCACTGGCAAAAGCCGAATCCAAGCCCTGGAAGCTGATGAGAGACTGGGGATCCGACAGGACAAGATTTGAAACGCCTCGCAAGCAATTGCAAGATCTGAGCCCTGCGAAGGCTACTGCTTTGGGAACCCCAGGAGTTGCATCCTGGTTCTCAATGCTACTCTTGTGCCACATAGCTTCGTGTCCAAATGTTGTCTACTGTTCTGTCGCTTGCATCATGGTCGGCTCCTCTATCAATGCATTTAGCTGCAAATGGGGTGTGCCGACAATGCGCGTTCACCATGTTCAGACAGCTCACGCGCACGCGCGCGCCGCACCGAAATGATCAAGCGAAGAAGATGCACTGATTGTGCGGGATTGATGGTTCAACAAAGCTTGAAGCTTTTCCTTGAATCCCACTTCTGCCAGGCTGTTCGGGCCTGACACGGCTGACAATCGATCCTCTACTTCGCAGCCGCCCCGAAGCCCCACTGTCTCGTCACCTACATCCCTTGGTCCTCCTAAATTACATGTTGGTGCCGCGGGACACTCCGCTCGAAGCAAACGTGGAGTCCAAGAAGGGCCCAAAAGGCCGATAGCAGGGCGACGACAGGTCGGAACCCGGTCACCATGAACCTCGGAGAGGACTCTTTTGTCTGTCGGAAGGACGAGCGAGAAAACCGCGACAGCATTCAACTCATGATGACTCTGAGTGCTGTCGTCATCCACATCTTGGAGCTCGGCCAGCTGAGCTGGGTCGGACACTCGCCTGGAGCAGTAGGGAGGCTTTGCGGGCCGAAGAAAGACAAGCGCGGCAAAACTGCTTATTTTCCGGCACTCGGCAAGTACTTCAGCTGTGCCTCACAGACAGAGTCGTTTGATGGGTATGTTGCTCTGAAAAAATAGCGCCGCACAGGAGGAGTCCATGGTTCAGCGAGGCTCGATAGCACGGAACATGATTATCTGCCACACTGCCGGGTGACAACTTCATTATAAAGTGCTGTTTGATCATCAACAAGCCCAAAAAGACGATGGGCCAAGCCAAGTCACCATCCTTCAGGATGCCTGCAGCTCGCAGGAGGTGGCAGTCAATCCTAAGAGCGAGGTTGCGCATCGAGACACCTATCGATGTTGCGCCATATTGCACTTGACATTGTTATCAGCAGTGCTGCTGGCAGCATGGTAGGAGTTGTTGCTGTCGCAGTAGCACCAGCAGTGGCGATGATGCTATCGGTTGCTAGTGGTTGTAGCTCTATAGCTAGTGACAGCTCTCGTGGAAGAAAAGAAAAAGGGATTCCCACGTGTTGCAGGAAGCAAACAGTGTATCAAAAGAACAACGACGCGATCGTCAACAGGGACAACTATTAGTGTTTGCGATCTAAAGACTAGCGTGGTTCTGTGCGAGAGTATTCGTCTAAACCTACCAAACGGTCTGCGGATACGAAGGCGTAAACATCTTGCGGAAACACTCCAGACATTCGCGCTCAAAGCCAAATGCCGCTTGCCCAAAAACCCAGATCTGCACGCATGCCAACGATCTCGACCCTGCAGCGAACACTTTGCTGTCAGTTAGTGCATATATTATAAGCGGAACGATATCGCGACGGTTCGGCGGTATTCCTAACCGTGAAAGGTTGAGTCCCATTAAACTATCAAAAACCGAAACCATCTTAAGTCCGGGGAACCCGGGAGACCATAATAACCCCTACAAGCTAAGCCTACTCCCCGAAAATCGCGAGGGACCTGAATCTTGAGCCCCAAAACGGTCCTGCAAAACATACAAGCCCATACGCCGTACACCCAACAATCCGTGTAAGGCCAAGGACCCAAAGCCCCTTACAAGGATACTCTCGCAACGTCCTGGAAAATCCGGAAGATGTCCTAGAAGCTTAGGCCTAGACGTCCTAAACTCATGTAGCCATGGTGTATTTCATTCACCTAATGTAACCGTAAACCTTAAACCCCTGAGATCGAGCTTCCCGAGTGATTTGATAGAGAGAACCGTAGGATCCCATCAAAATCGTTTCTTCTATAAGTGGTTAACCCCAAGACCCTCAGCCCCACAATCCGAGCTCTACGGCCCAGGCAAAATCTCTCATGTCTCTCTCTGTCTCGCTCTCTCTCTCTGTCTCTCTCTCCGTCTCTCTCTCTCTCTCTCTGTCTCTCTCTCCGTCTCTCGCTCTCTCTCNNATCTATCTATCTATCTATCTATAAAACGTAACATGCGCTGCAAGCCCTTTACATCCTGAAGCTCGCCGAGTTCAAATGAAGCCGAAGATCTCGACCAGGAGAGGCAAACCAAGCGCTGCAACCGCCGCGCGCGAGCAAATCGTGGACTGGGCACCAGTACAGCTGCATTTTGTGGCTTTAGGATTGTAATCGCGGAAGTATCTGATGCATACGATGCTAGCATATGTATATGTAGATGATATATAGACATAGAGACATCTAGAGATATTTGTATAGACAGAGATATAGATATAGACATAGACATGAACATAGATATAAATCTAGGTTAGGCCCGTTAGGCATGTGTATACATATATATATATACATATATATATATGTACATGTCTGCGATCGTCTGTGAAGTTTGTTTCTCGTCTTGTTGGTTTTCTTCTAACGGGGAGCCCGCCTCACCTCAAGCTTACTTACATTGGGCTTACATTCCTCGTACAACTTCGCACACCTGCCGAACTCAAGGCTGTCTCCAACTTAACTTACAAGCGAGGCAAGTGGAATCGAAACCTACATACCAAAACCGAGACACGCAAGCTCAAGTCACAAGAACTCCCTTTCCTTCGGCCCTTAGCTTCGCCCTCCCAAGAAAGTGTGGGGGTGAACAGGCCGGGAAGCTGCGAAAGCACCGCGATGAGGGCCTCCACGCCGAACTAGAAGCCATGTGACAAACGGTAGCGACAATGTCGTTGCAATCCTTGCTGGGTTACACAGCAACATAGCTGCTGGCACAAAACCCTCATGCACCAGGAACATCACGCTGCAAAGAGATTTGAAGCAACAACGCAAATTTGCAGTATACCTTGGTATGGTGCAAACATGCATTGTGGCGTACATATTTTCCGGGTCTGTAACTGCAGTTGCTTTCGTCATCGTCGCTGCATGTCGATGTCGTTATGCATGCTTTCTTGCAGCATGGGGACAGCTTGCAAGCAGATTGGCTGATGCCCTGCGTGTTTGGGATCTCCCTCCCATCCCCTGCAACCCGGATACAGAATCCCAAACTACAGACATATACAGGCATTCAGCAAACGAGCAAAAGTAGAGCTGAAGAGCCAAGGGGCATAACCGATATAGACGTGTAGAGCCAGACGGATTGTACTTCGCAGTCCACAAACTTAATTTCCAAGAAGCCACATGTATCGATGATGGAGAGCGACCAGAGGATGCAAACCTAAGGGCAGCCCGGATTGTTGCCAGGTTTGGAACTGGGCGAAGGGCAACATGGGCTTGGGACTGCCGGTTGAGGGCATATAGGAACTAGATATGAATTTGTGGCTTCAGCCCTTTAACTTTGCACTTGGCGTGGGGTAGCTAGCACGAAAGCAAGGCCCTTGGCAAAGATCGGTGCAAATGCAAATGATCACAGGGCCAAACCAACACCCTTGACGCCGCTGTAACAAGATTCCAGGACATGGCTTCAGGGTACTAAGCCGCTTTAGCTGCTGGCCAAGCAGCGAGCGGTATCTTGATAATAAGATCCGTGTTCCCCAGACCTTTGATACTGAGACCAGCTTCGTATCGGCGGCGCAAGCTCTCGTTGTAAGATCCAGCTTGCATAAGCACTCGGATGGCCATGTCCACTTCGGCCTGACAACTCTCCAGGGCACTGCAGAAATTGCAAGAACCTACTGACCGGTCTGCCGTGTACCAACAATTGCAACAACCACTGCAGGACGTGCAGCCAACCCAGGCCAACCCAAACTTGCAGTGCACTACTTTTGCACCGCAAAGTTTCTGCCCAATCCCTGTCGGTCCTCACGGCCGGAAATGGCCAAGCGGATTCGCCCTTCATCGAGTGGGTGAGAGCACGTGGCATCATCCAGGGTCTGAACGTGGAGATTCCCAGCTTGCGTGTTAATCTCACGGCTTTCCAGTTGCTGCTGGTTGATTTGGGCGACACGGAGGAGGTTGAACAGGGTAACTGCCACCGGGATGAAGAAGTGCAGGAAATGGTCCCAACTCGTCCCACGGTGAATCGGGAAGCTCAGCCATGTGCATGCCAATGCCGCGCTGGTCAAGGTCAGGCAGATGTGCGCCTTCCCGATGATGGTGAACTTCATCCAGCTCCGGCAGGAGTGAGTGTTCAGCTTGCTCATGCATGACGTGATGAAGCAGAGAGCAGTGAGCGTGACATTCCTCGTCTGTGATCCATGTCATGCGATCTCAAGTAGATGCACAAGTCACAAGTCTACGCACCGATGCCATCTCCACCTACAGTGACTTGCTGTGCTTATAACCTTGCCGGGATGCACAAACATGGCCCAGATCACAACAGTCTTCTTGGTCTTCCTGTGGTGCAGTAGGGCCACCGCCAGAACAGAGCCGACGAGCACTCCGAGAGACCACGGGAGAAGCAACGTCTGCATCACGACGGCCCGTTGAACAGAGGGACGGGGCCTCACAAAAAGAGCAGCGCTTCGTCACCAAAAGAAGTCTGAGACCTGTGCGCTCTTTCGGACGTCACAACACTTCCGTGTCGGCGTAACCTACGCTGCATTAAGGAATGTTACAGTAGGTCATGCTATGTTACCCTATACATTGCTGCTACACTACAGTACGTGGCATTGCTCCTTCAGGCCTGGTCGGCATCACTACAACCTTCTGCCACTGCGTGCCGAGGTAAGCCTGCGCGGCAGGCAACGCAGAGTAGGGAGCAACAAGTGCAAACTGCTCCCTAAACCCTTTTTTTGAACCTAGACTCTGCCAATCAGCTGGGAAGCGGCACTTCCAGACTATTGCATCCGGGAAGCGTCGCCAAAGTCAAACCTTAAACCCTTAACCCTGGTCCTCAAAGACACACCATAATCTCGTGTAGATGCTGACTGTGTCATTCGGGATCACCTGCAGAGCTTCTTCCGAGGGCGTCTGGGCTGCAATGGGGAATTTGCCAAAGCCCACGTCCCATGAGTCTATTGGCTAAACCCCAGCCTCTATTCATACCGCTCTAGTACGACGTCTTGCAACAATTGACGCACTATTACAGTACCGGCTCGAAGAGCTTGGCAGGAAATCCAAGGTTCTCGAGACCTACATAGCTACCAGCCTCACCCACCGTCTAAACCATCAAGCACTCAAGTACTCGAGTACTCTATCCCGGCAATCTTGGTCATGATCGGATGCACCAACACGTGCTCAGACAGACTCCGAAACAACACCTCTAATTATCATGTTACATTGCTACATTCATCGAAATTAGGGCCCTCTGGCTCGACCTCCAAAGGCTCATGGAGCCCAGGAGACAGCTGAAATCTTGACTCGCACGGCGGAGTCGTCACGCACTCGACGTCATCACATCTCTCGTATAGGGCTTTTGGCAGACTGCGGTGTAATTCTGCCAAGTTGCCAGCACATGCGTCGCGCTCTTCATAGCTTTGGCGAAGGGGCTTTCCTAGCACGACCAGTGACATGCAAGTGGAGACGCGGTTTCAGAGTCCGAAGCCAAGGGTGGATCCCACAGGCATCTTTCTCGAAGTGTGGCCATGCAATGGAAAACTAAAGCACCTGGTGCCTTGCAGGAATGCTGTGTAACACATCAGTCCTCTGGAGGAACGCTCAAGAGGTCTTCGATGTCGAGGTTCTGCGGGTTCGCCAGGAGGCAGCAGTACCTGAGCTTAGCAAACAGGACTCGCAGAGTCCGGCAAGCATCAACTCTCTCAGGGGCTACTTCTGCAGGGATGCCACTACTTCGAATGAAGTGATGAACATGCGACCCTACCTATGCTGTTTCTGCTCTATCGTTGCCGCTATCAACATGAGGAAGCCCTTGAACATCATCAATAAATACTGAAAAGCCACCGGATCTTGACCTTCAGAACGTCACTGCACGATGTTGGTATGTCAAATAGAAGAAGGCTCATGGCTCAACATGTCGAAAGACCTGGAGCAATTTTCTCCAAGATCAGCTCAAACGGGTTGGCTCAGTCCTAGCGCACTACGTCCGAAACCAACCCCCGTGTTCCCTAGCCCTTGAGCCGTCGCTGACTCACGTCAGCTTGCTATGCCTGCCAAATCACAGGTTCACAATGCCCTGCAGGCGTGGCCAGCCGCGGTGCACCTGAAAGATCAGCGGATTCCGACAAAAGCCGCTCTTTGCGCTGATGGCCATGGGAACAAGAATTCTCGCGCTGCCGGTTATCGGGTCCTGGTCCAGAAAAGCATGCGCGAATAAATGCCAAGTTGCAGAAAGCTTCGAACCCTGAGAAGACTCTGCCGACCCTGAATACCCCCACTCCCTCGCTAGTGACTCTAGTGGTGCATCAGAGGAGCCCTTTTGAACGAGGTCTCTCTGAAGTGCTTCCAAGCTGCCCGCCTCAGAGGAGCCCTAAACCCTAAACCCTCCTTCTCTTGTGGTGCATCAGAGGTGCTAAGTCGCCGAGCTCGAAGAGGCCTTCGGCCCAGGCGTGGGACAGAAACACCTGGAGCAGAGTAGACTCAGCATAGAGCTTAGGGTTTATAGGTATCATGAGCATTTCCTTTGTGCACATGCTGACTCATGCAGTGGAGTGTGTCATATTCGCAACCCGGCTCTGCAAGAAAAGACATGCTCTGCCACTTTGCCTGGGGCCAGCTTGAATCAAACAGACATCTGTTCTTCATTTTTGGTCCGTCCAAAACTGTGCGAGTGAATGCAGGGACCAGCTGAAACCACTATCCCAGCCCTGGGCTGCACTCCCTTCAGCCCGCTCGCCCGAAACCCACGGTGCCCGCGTGACCCACAAGTTTGATTCAGCCAAGGGCGTACGCACTGAAGCACAAACATAGCTGCCGATCCCGATGTACTTCCGCTGCTAGTTTGCTATAGAGCTCAGGGCTACCATGCTGGAATGGACATACCAGTGCATCATGGCTTCTATCTGCAGTTGTGCAGTCTTGATGGTGCCGCAGGATACAGCCTGTCAACTGACCACGACCCAAGAGGCAGAGGGGCCTGGCACGGCAAGCCAGCTGGATGCTTCATCAGCGCATAGGACATCCCACCGGCCGCCCATGTCACAGGCTTGACGAAGTGCTGGTTGACCTTGGGTTGACGAAAAAAAGTCTCTATCGAATAGCAAACCTGACCTCCAGAGCCTCTCGCGCAATCTTGTGATCCATCAGAAGCTGCTGCAGTGACTGCTTCCAGAACATCTCTACAGATTCACTGCCGAGACAGCTAAGCTCTCCGATCTCTGTCACGATCTCTCCATGGCTCAAGCATACTGAACCCCACCGGCGACCGCGCAGTTGGGAGGAAGCCTATGTCCACATCAGGTACGTGTCATGCCAAAATCTGCAACCCTCGAGCAGGCTGTTGTTCAAATGGCTCTACTGTAATTACCTCAGTATCACGTAGCAAAAAACAGGGTGCAGCTGTGATTTGCTGCTTCCCGTACCAACTGCCGCTCTTTTAACTTCTGGGTAGCCAAAGGGCAACTCTCGCTCGGTGCACTACAGCGGATCCTCGAACCTTGCGCACTAAACCCCGGATCATCAACCTTTGGCATACAAGTTGCCTGGTAGAGGTTGGGTCCATGGTGCGGGTCGTTGTGAAACGGGTTCGGGACATCGCCGTCTGGAATTTTGTCCAGCTTCCAAAGCTTGCGAACTTCCTCGCGCCAGGCTTTGCAACTCAGGTCTTCAAAAGCAAAATCAGTTCAGTCTGCCTGCCTTCATAAAGAAACCATGCATCATGGGAGGTTGCCGTCATCCCCCGACACCCTATAATCTCCACGCCGCACCTCGATGAAGGCAAAGAACTCGCTGCGCGTGATGCACCACCGGTCGGGCGGCACCCGGAGCTGGAGGTCCATGTCGCTCTATACCGACTAGGGTGGGGTTTTAGGGTGTCTATTGGGATAGCTTCGGATTTAGGCCGCTTCCAGAGTAACTAACTATAAAAGAATTACTGCTATCATGTCACTAGCAATAGAACACACTCTGACTCTGATCTGACGGAAGAGCCATCGATTAAACCAACAGCTATAGCAGAATATCATCAGCAATAGCACCCAGCTTTGAGTCTTACGCAGGAGCAACCAAGTAACCAAATGACTCTCTGTGCCAGCCCCACTATAAAGCTTAAACGACTAAGAGGCCTCGAGACCCGGTCCTAGGATCCTGGACCAAAGTCTGCGTCACGTAATTGGAGAAGGTGCTGCAAGCGGAATCATGCTGCACTCTTCGAGAGGCTGCTCAAAACTGCCAGCCTGACACTGCAAAGATCGCACTAACTCGGACTGCCCTGGTGTCACACAGAGGCCATGAGCCCGGCTTCGCAAGAACTCGCTGGACTTTCAGACGCTGATCATGTTTATCCCCCTTACCTCGAACCCATGTGCAGAGCAAAGCTACAATAGGGGCACAGCCTCCAAAAGGATGAAGATAACGAAACACCGAACACAAAAGATGCTCCCTTATAACAACGATGGGCCCCGGCAGCCATGTCGAACACGTGCATGCCTTCACTACCTGGTGCCGCAACCGGCAGATATTGATGCTCGACTGCGCGCGGGCTCGCAACCGCGAAGTTCAGGCTGGTTGTGATCTCTGCATGAAAGCTCGCAAGAGGGTGCACATCAAAGGTGGAAAAACTTGCATTCGTTCGCGCGCGTGTGTGTGTGTGTGTGCGTGTGCGTGTGTGCAAGATGGCTCCAAACACATCACAGCACACAGCTTCTGACATGCGCATCTAGAGTAACACCCTTCAAGGGATCCATCCGGGAGTGCAGACAACACTACATCAGTGTTTGTGTGTGTGTGTGTGTGTGTCTGTTCGTGCGTGCGCGCACGCGTGTGCGTGCGTGCATTTGTCTAAGTCGTCTGCAATTGCATTTGTGCGCGAGCTTGTCTGTCTGTGTCTGTCTGTCTGTCTGTCTGTCTGTCCGTCGGTCTGTCTGCCTGTCTGTCTTGCATGCCTGCTGGGTGGGTGTCAATCTCTCTCGCTCTGCTGGCCATACGGGCCTGTCAAAGCCCGGGGCATTATGCCCACCCGATGTTTTATCGGGAAAAGGGAAGTGAACAGCGAGCGTAGATCATCATTTGGCCAAGGCCATAGATGATGATCGTACACTCTCAAGGACACATGCCTTTGTCCGATGCCAGTTTACGATCCTCCAGTATTCCAGCAAGAGCCAATGCACATACTTAGAAGGCGCATAAGACCCAAAACAGGAAAGAGGATATACTGAGGGAGTACTGACTTCCCCTGCTCAATGATTTCTGATAAGGGTGCTTTGACGAGGTTCAAACCTCGAAGAAGCAAGTAAATTGATGGGAATGGGACAACTATCGGCAAGGACGGCATCATGTAACTAAAAACCATCAAGCAAGAGGTAAACTACGACGATCCCTGCCACATGTCCCAAGTTCCACTCTACAGACTAAGCTACAACGGAAAGCCCCTCCTTGGCCCCTGTGTTACAAACCTGTCCGTCATCACGGGAGCAAGAAAGGACGTTGGAGGGGCATCAAAAGCACGCAGGATTTCGGGCCCAAGTGCAGAACTGCATGAGCATTACCACTAGCTCCATACAACAAGAACAGTATGACTTCCCCCGAAGAGCTGCAGCTACCAAGGCTTGATGAAATGTCCAGCTTAAACTTACCCCTGATACAGAAAGTGAATTCAATCTCACACGCAAGTTCTGAGCACACTCTGGCCCTGAACACAGCAGCATGTTGCGGACGTCGTCAATTTAAGCCCTGAACCTCTCAGGCTTGTGCTTGCAATGCGAATTCATGGGCTCAGAGTTTGCTCACGCTCACCCTGCCGGCATGCCCGTGCACCACCTAACTAGGGACTCTTTGACACGATACACCGTGTAATGAGACGGGTGGCCCCGGGCAGCGTGGCAAGGGCCGTAGACCAAGACACCACTTGCCGTCATGTAGACAGCGCCCACAAAGACGGCACCATCATAATGCCCGTGACTGCGACGGTCCGTCCACATCCAGTCGTCCTTGGTGAGATGCACCTCTTCCGTGTATTCGGCCTTCACACACACCAGGCCATTGAATCGGCTGGGTGGTGGAGGGTTGTCAGGCCCTGCCCGCGAATCAGGCAGATCCTGCTCACCGACGCTCCCCACCGGGCGGTAGCCCTCTGCGCAACCCGGCGTGAACAAGCCGCCGTCATGGTCACCATGAGTGTGGAGGTCATTCCAGTTGAAGGTCATGGTGACCGGGGATTTCAAGGAATCCTCGTGTCCCGGCATGTGTTGCAAGAGCATGGCCGTCAGGTGCATGTCCGCGGCATGGCTGTCCTTGCAATAGTCACCGAGATAGTAGAGGCCCTTGCTCCCTCTCTTGGGCCTCCACATGCCCAGGTCGGTTGCTGCACCTGTGCCCCTGTCCACGTAGGAGGGCTTGCCTTCGAAGCTGGAGGTCGTGAGAATCCTGAAAGGGCAAGATGCCATGCGGCCCAAGAGGCCCTGGTCGCTCTTCAAGTTGGCCTCGTCGTAACACTTCCACGACCACGGTGACCACTTCGGGACTTCCCCATTTTCCATGGCCTGCTGCAAGGCCCGGGTGATGTTGATCCAGTTCCAAATGGGTTGCAGCCACTGCTCGAAGACCCTCTGCTGTGTGGAAAGAACCTTGGCCCGGTGACAGAACCAACTCGTCGCAGCCGCCCCACCAGGAGAACTGGTCTCCCAAGGGGCACACTGCGCTTTGTCGCCCAGAAACGGTATGGGTATTCCGTCGCCACGGTCGCGGCAGTATAGACAGGGAGAGAAGGATGGAGGCTTTGGAGTACAGGTAGAGTTGGATTTATCCACTGCTTCCTTGCTTGTACACTCTGCATCGAACTGCCCAGGGTAGTAGTATGGACAATCGTATGTGTGCCGATGAAAAAAGATCACATGAGAGAGCAAACTTGAATGAGTTACCCACTCCAAATGATGCTTTCGATGCACCATGAGGCCTTGAAAGCTCGCCACTCGTCGCTGTGTAAGGTTGGCTGCACGTTTCAGCACCATCTTGGCGTGGCACAGTGAGTCTCTGGCCAACTTCTGAATAGATGCAGCATCGCGAAGTTGCTTTGCTTTGAGTGCGAGGCTCTCCACAGTCAGGTGCAAGTTCAAGAACTGCGGCAGGACCGGGGTCAGCAAAAATCTAAGCCACTCGCCGTCCATGTCAAAGCGCAGCTCTTGCACTGGGTCCGTAAAGTCCGCCAGCCAGTTGCTTGTTGTGTTTTGCCCTGGCTTCCTGGTGTCAATTGCAACACTGTTGTTGATGTCGTTCAGCTTCAAGTGCCATACTGCCAGCCTTGTCTTTGCCACTTCGTTCGTATAGTGCTGGAATTCCTTGGCTACGTAGGAGGTGACATGCTGCTCCACATACTTTGCAATCTGTCCGTACACGCACTTCCCCCAATCTGCTGTGGCGGCATAGGTGCACGGATTCGTGGGGCCGGACGCGCCCGACAATGCAAGGTTGAGGAAGGTAGTCAAGACGATTCCTCCAACCCCGCCCGAAAATCCCCACGCACTTTTCATGATCTGTCTCGCCATCTGCTCACCACCTGAG